GAGTGCCCGTCGCACCTGCGCCTCGTCACGCCCGCCGCCAAGGCCATGACGGCGAGGCTGCTGCGCCGCGACGCCACCAAGCGCTCCAGCGTGTGGGAGACATGGGACGCCGAGTGGCTCCTGCGCGGCAGCTTCGCCACCGGTCTCGGCGGCGAGTCGAGCGCAGCGGGCGAGCAGGTCGAACTGCTCCCGGATCCGCGCAGCCCACCGGGTCGAGCGTGGCTGGCCGAGCGCGCCCACATTCGCGGCGGGCAGGTGAGCCAGGTGGCCTGCGACGACTGATGCGCCGGCGTCTGCGTCGTGCCCATCGACTTTGCTCTGCGGCGCTCTTTTACCCCGTGCCCATCTCGTTGGAGGAATCCTGCGACGGAACACCCTCTTCGTATCCCTTTTCCCTGCTTCTCTGTTGCGCCGCTCCTCTCGCCCCCAACTGCGCGTGTTTGGGCTGCTGCCATCCCATCCAGGCTCATCCCTGCCCCTGCCCCTGCCCCTGCCCCTGCCCTTGCCCTTGCCCCTCGCTCCTCGCTCCTCGCGCCAATCACTTTTGCTTTGGCCACCATGGACCTCGCTCTTCGCTCGCACGCGCGCCGTCCGTCCTGTATCGCATGCACGCATCTAATCAAGCCACTACCCGTCGCTCACTGTCGTCGCTACATGGAGGGGAAAAGGCCGGAGCCAGATGTTGCTGCAAGGCGATCCAAACGCCTGCCTGCCTGCTCGCTTGTCCAGGCGGCGCGCTTGTGATTTCGAGCCAGGGTGCGACGTTGGGACCGGGGCTCGACAGAGCCGTGCAACGTGTTGGTCCGTTGTCTCTGGGGCAGTGCAAGGTAGGGCAAGGGGTCGTGCGACTACCAAGCCTTTTGAAGGGACTGACGAAAGCAGAGCGTCGTACCGTCGCGAGACTCGCCCACATTCCACCCCTCGTCGTCGTCGTTTTCGTGCGATGCGGTTGTCGATGCCGCGGCGGACGATGTTTGCTGCGCCCGGGCGCGGTGGAAGGGCAGCACGGCGATTTGGAGCGTACGACGAAAGAGGTGGTCGATTGTCGCGCTCAACCGTTTACCCGTCTGCGCGAAATCGGGTTGCTGTTTCGCCATCCATCACGAGGCAGCGGGAAGAAGTGACGTTGGGATGGGATCGAGGGGGAGGGGGTGGTGCGAGGGAGAGTGAGCAGGGTCAGAAAGGTCGATACCCCAGATCGAGTCAGATCATCCCCTTGGCAGAGGAGGGCGGCGGAGGAGGGCAACGTACCGCATTGATCTCGAGCAGCTTGACGTCCATCGCGTCGTGTGCTCCCCGCTGTGCACCGGGGACGGCAGGACGGTGTTCGACGAGCAGGTCGACGCCAAAGATTTCGAACGAGTTGGGCCACATCTGCCAGTGCACCGCGCCGGCCTTTGCGCACGCCTCAAACGAAGTGCCGATGACGCGGACCGCCTTGGCCTTGACGGACCGGACATCCTCTTCCGTCAACCTCCTCCTCGCCGTCGTCGGGGCACCGCCGTCGCCGATGGGACAGCCGACCAGATCGTCCCAGAGCCACACGTTTTCCTCCTTGGGCCGGCCGGCGTCGCCCATGGCGAGGCTGCCGTCTGACTGCAGACACGTGTTGGTCAGGTGCGGTCGGAGGTCCGTCATTGTCTCCCTTGTCGGGCGGACGTAGGGCAGCGGGGCGAAGAGCGCCAGCATCGAATCGTGCAGGTACACGCGGAGGGAGCCAACGCATAGGACGTAGGCGCGTAGGTGGAACTTGCGCCCTGCGCCAGGCGGAGACGGGGGAGAGGCGGAGAGGGAAAGAGAGGAGAGCGCACCGTCGAGGTCGGGCGTGGACGGTGGGTCGAGCAGCAGGGGAGATGAGAGGTACTCCTGTGTCGTCCGGTCGTGGCGGGTACGCGGGTGCGGCAGGTAGGGTGTCGAGACGGCAGCAGCAGCAGGTCAGCAGACTGGACGCAGGCACGCACGCACGAGAGCGTCGCGGGACGACGGCGGCGAGCGCAGGCACACTACTCACCTGGACGACAAAGTGACGCAGCTGACTCGTCAGGACTGATGTGTCCTTGCCGGCGTACCCGACCTCCCTCTCATCGCCGTCATCTGCCGCCTCCTCGTCATCATCCTCGTCATCGCTATCCGGCTCGAATTCTTCAAAGATCTCGAGCAGCTGCTGGGCAGTGGCAAACAGCCTGATGCCGTTCCCGCGATCCGCCATGCCGGGCTTGAGGATGAACCACTGTACGTCCTCGGCATCCGCGTCCGCGTCTCCGCGCTCGTCGAGGATGCGCGCGTTGGCATCGAGGATCTGTGCAAGGTCGTACAGATCGTCGACGAGGAGCTCGTCGAGCTCGTCGGCAAACTGGATCTCAAACGCCCAGGTGCGCGGCGTCGGATCTTCGTCGACGCTCCCCGCTTCGGCATCGGCACCGCGCCGTTTGACGCGAAAGGCGTGTAGCGCCGAGGCGAGGTAGTGTTTGCGTATCAGCGCCTTTCGGATCACGTAGCTCGAACATTGCGCCGCGCTGCTCCCGGACCCTGGCAGGAGGTCTTCGAATGGCAGGAGATCGTAGTCGGCCAGGTAGAGGGACTGGCCCGTCGGCACCTCCGGTATCGTTGCAGAAGACGCGGAAGGCGTAGGGGAGGAGGAAGACGACGACGACGACGGGGCAGGGCAGCCGTCGATGACGGTCCAGCCTTGCGGGGCGAGGATGTCTTGAGCGGCGCGGAGGGCGGCCCACTGCGTGTAGGGCGCGTCTGGGAAGCAGACGCAGGCGCTGCTGCTCGTCGAGGTGGCCATGGTCGATCAATATGTCCCGGGGCGGAGACAGCGTCGATGCAGTTGGGCAAAGTGAGGGAGGTCGACGAGCGAGGATCGGACGAGGAGGTGCAGAGGAGACGAGGGGAGAGGAGAGAGGAGGACAGGAAGAAAGCACTACTGAGGGCCGCCGCCCTTCAGGGTCCACTCGGCACGCCGCGCCAAAAAAAGTTGTTGTTTGGGGCCCGGGCGTCGGCTGCCTCGAGGAGCTCAGCCCCAGCAAGGCACAAACACGGTCGTCGTTGGATCCATACAGACAAGGCAGACTCCAGTCATTGCACTTGGACATTGTGGGCGGACGGCTGGAGCTCGATGTCGGACACTTTCATCCTGAGGGTAGCTGAGCCTGGGCTGGAATGTGCGCTATGCCAGCTTAAATTTCAGGCTGGGAAAAAAGGCCCGGGCGAGCCTGCCTTCCCGGTTCTTCTCAGCCTGGAGGTAGAGTAGCCTCAGTCGGCCGAAAGGCGAGCATGTCTCTGGCCGCACCCTGGCTGGAATTCACCGAGCTGGCCGCGCTTGGACCAACGCCAGCCGTCGTTGGAGGATCTCTTCGTTTGTGCCGATCCGAATGACTCTCACCACCACGACCACCGCAATCACCACCACGACTCTTGACTGCCACTGCCGTCATCCGGCTCGCCTGACACGCGTCGACTGCTGCCTCTCGCCATGGCAGTGGAGAGCGCCGAGGAGTCGCTGCCGTTGCCCGGGACGACGACGGCACCGGCTGCTTCGCCCTCGTCGATGCACTCGCTCCTCCAGAGCCTGCTCGCCCCTTCAACCACCAACGACGGCAGCAGCGATGCTCACCGGCTGCAGCAACCATACGCGGGGGGAGCCAACCTGGCAGAGGCCTCGAGCTTCCTGCGCTCCCTCACCACGCACTCCCTCGCCGATCTGCGAGCCCAGCCGGGCCTCCTGGCATCCAAGGCCCTCGACCTCGATCGGCAGCTCTCCCACCTCTGTGTCACCCAGACCGACGCCTTCATCAGCCTCTACGACGCCGAGGAGTCCTTTGGTCCCTCGATCGCCTCGCTGTCCGAGTGCCTCGACAACCTCGTCACCAGCTCGCTGCCTCGCCTCGAGCAGGCGGCCAGCGCCTTCCGGCAGGCGAGCCAGTCGAGCCTCGAGGAGCGCAGGCGGGTCCAGGCGGTCGCCGACGAGTACGAGCGCGGTCAACTCGCCGATCTGCTCGAGCTGCCCAAGCTCGTCGACACGTGCGTGCGCGCCAGGCACTACCCAGAGGCGCTGCAGCTGGGCGACCACATCATCACCATGACCCTGGCGGCCGACGAGGAGCGCCAGTCTACTGCGGCAGCCGCATCGCCTTTGCCTTCCGCCTCTCGTGAAGGGCAGGCATCCTCCTCGTCTGCCGCAATCAGGTCCAAGGAACTCGGTCCTGCTGCGGAGCCAACGTCGAGGCACGCCGATGTCCTCCTTTCCCTCCTCTTCGAGACGTGGACCCACCTGGCGAGGATGAAGGCCGACCTCATCGCCGCGCTCCAGCGACCCGGACTGCAGCTCCCGGCAGCCAAGCGGAGCGCGTCGATGCTGCGCAGGCTGCACTCGCTCGCGCAGCGCGTCAACCCGCTGTCGAAGCTGTCGCTCTCGGTCATCGCAAGCCTGCCCGACCTCCGCCTGGATGAGAGCCAGCTCTGCTTCTGCTACCTCAAGGCGCGGCACCGCATCCACGGCGAGACCCTCGACAAGGTCGCCGGCGCCTCCATCGATACCGCCGCCTACCTTCGCAGGTTCATCGACGCTTGGCGAGAGGGCCTGGTCGAGACCCTCGGCGTGGCCACCGCCCTCTTCGCCGACTCGGCCGACGACGCCACCAAGACCGGGTCGCCGTCCGAAGCTCCCTCGCCCTCCTATCTCATCTCGTCTTTCGCCTTCAACGCCCTCGACCGGCTGACGGCTGCGTTGCACGAGCAGCTACCCAGCCTCCAGCGCCGCTCGAATGGCGTCGCAGGCAACGGCAAGACCGCCGCGAGCATCGAAGAGTCCGCCTCAATCCTGGCCGCGCTGCACACCCAGCTCAGCTACACCTCGGCGGCGCTCTTGAGATTCGGCCTCGATTTCGGCCATCTCCTCGTCCGGCCCGAAAGGCGCGGCATCGCTTCGAAGGGGTCGGCTGATGGCCTCGACATGCTCGAGCACACCTGGCTCGCCCTGCTCCAGGCCAGATGGACTTCACTCGCCGACGACAGCCTAGTGCTGATCGGCTCGAAGTCGTCGGCGATCTCTGCCAAGCCCAACGAGAAGGCGGTGCCCGCCCTTCCCTCGGCATGGCTGGTGCGGTCGTCGCTCGTCGACGAGCTGGACGAGCGCTCGATCGATGTCGTCCGTTCCGCCGGCCCCAACTTGAGGCCAGACCCGGACGTTGCCCATTTTCCGCCGTTCCTGGCGCTGCTCAACGGCCTCATGGATGCCTTCAACGGCCTGCGGCTGTTTGCGCCTCGGCGCCTGCGTCTGCGCCTGCAGGCTGCCCTGGAAGCGCACTTCGCACGGCTCGCCGACGAGCTGCTGTCGTACGCCGAGGCCGTCCAGGGCATGGACCTGCTCGAGATCCCTGGCGGCAAGGGCGGCGACTACCGGCGACACCAGGCAGATGATCCAGCGCTCTTTGAGGGGCTCTCGGAAGAGGAGGGCCGCCTGCTCGACCTCGAGCTGCGGAAAGAAGGCGAGCTGCGACTGCTTTCCTACGGCCTCACCGCATTCGAGCACCTCGTCGTGCGATGGTCCTCGTATGCCCTGCAACGCGGGATCTTTGGCGCCGAGGAAGACGAAGCGAAGCGAGTGGGTCCGGAGCTGCAGGCCAGCCTCGCCCGGCTCGCAACCTTCGCCGATGCCATCGAAAGGGACCGGCAAGAGCAGATCAAGGGCCGACGAGACCGGGCCGAGGCCAGAGCGGCCGAGCGGGCCCGGCGCCTCGAGGACGAGGAGAGGCAACGCAAGACCGAGGAGGAGCGCGCCCGTCGAGAGGAGGAGGCCAGACGGCTGGCTCGCGAAGAGGCCGAGAGCCGGCGACTCGAGGAGGAGAAGATCGAGAAGGAGAGGGCAAGGAAGGCGGCAGAGGCGGAGCGAGCCCGCAAAGAAGAGGAGGAGCGGCGTGTGGCCGAGGAGGAAGCCGAGCGGAAGCGCAAGCAAGACGAAGAGGCGGAGCGTCGACGTTTCGAAGCAGAGGAAGAGGAGCGGAAGCGCAGGGAGGCCGAAGAGGAGGAGCGCAAGCGCCAGGAGGAACGGGAAGCCGAGCAGAAGCGCCAGGAGGAGGAGGAGGAGGAAGCCCGACGGAAGCGAGAGCAAGAAGAGGCAGAACGCAAGCGGCGGGAAGAGGAGGAGTGCGAGAGGGAGCGAGAGCAGCGGCGATTGAGACAAGAGGAGGAAGAGCAGCGAACAAGGCAGGCCGAGGCGGCCGCCGCAGCCGCAGCCGCAGCCGCAGCCGAGCAGGCGAGGCTGGAAGAGCAGCAAGCGGAATTACGAAGCCTCGCACAAGAAGAGGAGGAGAGGAAGCGCAGGGAAGCCGAGGCCGAGGCCGAAGCCCAGCCCCAGGCCCAGGATCGAGCCGCGGACGAGGCGCGCAAGAAGGCCGAGGCAGAGGACGAGGAGAGGCGACAACAACAACAACGAGCTCAGCAAGAAGCCAACGAGCGAGCAGCCGACGAGGAACGGGCGCAGGCGCAGGAGGCCGAGGATTGTCGCAAGCAAGAGGAAGAACCGGCCAAACCGCCACAGCCGCTGGACGCCGCTCCTTCCTCCTCCTCATCCTCTTCCGCTCCAGTTCCAGGCCCAGCACCGACGACGAAACAAGCCGCCAGCGCCGAGGCATCGTCCGGTTCCAGGCCGGCCACGCCGACTTCGAGCGTCAAGAAGACGAACCTGGCCGAAAAGCTGAGGCTGCGCAAGGAGCAGCGGGATCGCGAGGCTGCCGCGGCCAAACAGGCCGCCGAAGCCGCAGGCACGGAAGCGGCTGCCTCGGCAGCCAAAGAGGCCGAGGCTCCCAAAGACCTCGCAGCCCAGCCCGACCTGTCCGAGCCCAGTCGAGACCCGCAAGCGTCCGCGGCAGACTCGGTGCCGGCCGAACCTGTAGACGCCGCGGATCCCGCCGAGGAATCGCAGCGCCAGGACGCGGCGCCGAGCGTCGAAGGCGGCGAGGTATCGTCGATGGCCGTCCAGCCCCCTTCGGACGTCGATCAGCAGGCCAAAGAGGAAGCAGAGGAGGGGCAAGAAGCCAAGGCGACCGAGGAAGCGGATGCTGCGACGGCGCAAGACGACGACGGCAACGACGCGGGAGGCGATGAGCACGAAGATGGCGAGGGCGAGGAAGAGGACAGCGTCCCGCCCAGCCCGGCACCGGATGCCGATACCGGCGGCGGTGGCGGCGGCGGCGGCGGCGGCGGCGGGAACAAGAAGAAGCGGAACAAGAAGAAGAAGAAGAAGTAGCAGAGCAGAACAGGACGGAAGGCGATGCTGCACCGCGCTGTCGTCGCTAGCACACGACGAAATCACGGGCACAGAACCACGAGCGCCTAGGCGAGCAAGAGAGACATGGAGATGGAGAAAGGGGCCGGAGAGGGCTGGGCTCTGCCATTGCATCCGGAACCGCTGCCCATCTTGCAGCAAAGAAGACCGGCGACGTGTTCTGGAATCCCAGAGCTGTACTCCGACGGGATCCCTCCATCAGGTCTGATGCCATCCATGCGCACCGTCCTCTGCGCTCATCCCGTGAGCATCGAGCGCGGGTTGACGATGCGGCGACCGACAAAAGACGCCTACCGCAGGCCTAGCTCCTCGTCCGAGTTCCATCGAGCGGGCGAGGAGGCATAGGGCGCGACGGTCGAGAGAGGCGAGGCGGGCTTAGTTGGAGAGGATGGTGACCTCGACCTCGACACCGGGCTCGAGCGAGATCGAAGTGATCTGCTTGACAATCTCCGAGGGGCTGTGCAGGTCGATGAGGCGCTTGTGGATCTTCATCTCGAAGCGGTCCCAGGTCTTGGAGCCCTCACCGCAGGGCGACTTGCGCGTCGTGTGCGAGAGGATCTTGGTGGGCAGGCGGACGGGACCCTTCACCTTGAGCTGCTTGTCCTTGGAGCGGGTGACGAGGTCGGTGCAGACTACAGGCGGCGGCCGCAGATGAGCACGAGGAGATATGGAGTGACACGGGCGGGTCAGCAAGGAGATCCGGAGCGCATCATCAGCGTCGTGGCACGGTGGCAGCGCCGGGTGCCCACTCACCCTTCTCAAGGTTCTTGACGTTCCTCGAGGTGAGGGTGATCCTGATGCGGTGGATCTTGGGGGCCGGGGCCGAAGCCTCGACGTCCTTGTCCTTGGCGACGTAGCTCATCGTTGGTTTTGGTTGGTTGGAGGGTGGTGGGAGAGGGAGGATGAAGACCAGCGGTGACCAAGGCTATACCTGAAATGCGATATGAGGGGAGAGAGGGAGGAGGGAGGGGGACGGCTCTCGCTTCCTTCGTGGGTCCCCCCGGCGGGGTCGCACGCCTGCCTCGCCCTGCCTCGCCCTGCCCGGCTGGGGAAAAGTTTCTCTGCTGCGGCAAGTGCACGCCCGACCGCGCGGGTAAATTGGAAATCGGGCGAGCTTCCCCGATCGTCTCCCGATGGCCGCATCGTGCGGATGCGCCGGGGCCAACGACCAAAACCACGCCTGCCAGCAGCGCAAGGCATCAGCAGGCGGCGGGCACGCGGGCGGCGGCGCGGCGAGGCGGGCAAAGCTTCTGAGCGTGGCTGGCTGGCTGGCTGGCTGGCTCCTCGTCCATCATCCGCTCCCAGCCCGCCCCGTCCCGTCCCTTCTTCACCTCGCCATCCTCCCGCACCCAGTCTCCCACCGCGAAACCACCAATGCAGCTCACAATACGCTCGGCACTCGCCGCGCTGGCGCTCTGCTCCGTCGGCGCCTCTGCGGCCGCCGCTCCACCGTCCGACGCTGGCCTGAGCTACGTCCTGACCAACGCCAAGCTCTCGCTCTCGACCGTCGACGGCTCGTCGCGCCTGTCGCAGTCGTTCAGCACCGCCCCAGACTACAGCCTCAACGCGCCGCCGTTTGACCTGGCCGCGCCGACGCAGCTCGAAAACGACGACGTCATCCGCCTCGGCTTCTCGCTCGGCGTCCAGGAGGGCTCGGGCAAGGGCGAGGCCAAGTTCAGCAAGGAGCACCTGCCCCACCAGGCCTTTGTCGTCCTCGCCGAGGCTGGCAAGGCCTCGGCGGTGTCCAACGCGGCCCAGACCGCCTGGCCGATCCAGGTCAAGCCCAGCTCCGGAAAGGCGTCGTGGAACCTGGTAAGTGCCGAGTGCCTTGCAGCTTCGCAGCGTCGTGGGCTCTCGAGAAGCACCGCCCACTGACGGTTCACCGCCCGTTCCGCATCCCTTGCCACTGCTCTGCATGCTACCGCACTGCAGAGGATGGATCGGATCCCCTCGCACCTCCTTGAAGCCGAGGGCCCGCTCGTCCTGTCGCTACTCATCTCCAACTTCCCCGCATCGTCGGCCGCCACGGGGAGCTACCAGCCGCTCAGCCTGCCGCTCATCTCGCTGCGCCTGCCCAGCTCGCTGCAGAGCGCTTCAGCGGCTCCCTCTGCCCGCGAAAAGGCCGAGATCGAGCAGGGCTTCCGCGGGTGGCCCTACAACTTCCACACGTTTGGCTCCTCGCCGGCCGACTCGATGCCCAGCCGCAAGCTCAGCCTCGTCGCCTCGGTCGTCACCGTCGCCGTGCCGTGGATCGTGCTGCTCGGCCTCGTAAGTGCAGCGCTGCCGCCGACGCGTCGGGTGCAGCTGGCCAGATCGAGAGGCTGACTTCCCGAGCGAGAATTCCGATCCCGCCCGCCTCCCGTATGTCTGCTCTGCCCGCACCTCAGATCGCCACCGTCCAGCCCTCGCTCTCCGCGCCGACCGCTCGCATCTCGCTGCTCTTCGTCAGCCTGGTCGGCCTCGAGGCGCTCGCCATCCGCTACTGGATCGGCATCACCCTCTTCCAGATGCTGCCCTTCCTCGCCGGCGGCGGCCTCGTCACCCTCATCATTGGCAAGTCGGCCCTCGGCGACCTCCGGAGGCAGAGGCTCGTAAAGGCGGCGGCCGCAAAGTAGAGCCCAGGGGCCCTCGTCACGCCGACGGCCCCCTAGTGCTGTTGGCGGCAGTGGCATCGGGTGATGGGATGAATAGAGATGGCGCCAGAACCGGAAAACCAACTTGCTTCTGGCCATGCTGCTTGCGGGCCGTACGCGCTTGCCTGTCGTTTGGCACACTCGTTCGGTCTCGCAGCGTACCGCCGCTGCGCTCGTAGCTCCTCCCAAGGGGCGCAGACGAGCCCAGTCGCCTCTGCGTCTCCGCGCAGCTGTCTTCCGGGGCCGCACTGCACCTCACCTCTCACGGCCTTGGCTGCAGCCACCACAGACGGCGCCGCTATCCGGCACAACCTCCCGCAGACGTGATCACGCTACGCCGCCGCCGTGGCGTTTCGGTGCGCAACCTGAACCTTGACTCTATTCCAGGCCCCTCGTACAGGCCAGCAGCGGGGACATCTATGAAACAGACACGAGGCGCAAACGTCGACGGGAGACTCGATGCTAGACGCTCGCCTGGCTCCAGTAGGCCTGGCCGATGTCGTCGACCTGGTCGATGAGCTCCTGGAGGTCGTGCCACTTTGTGCGCGGGTGGACGACGAGGCGGACAAACTCGCCAATGCCGCGCGGGAGCGGCGCAAAGTCGACGGCGAACCTCCGCCGCTGCTGCAGCTCGCGGTGCGTGTGCCGCGTCGCCGCCGACCTCTGCTCGATGCTCGCCTCCCCCCGCCCCTGCCCCGGCCTGGGCTTGGGTCGGAAGCAGACCTGCAGAAATAGGGGCGAGGCCAGCGGGCCCAGCTCCATGGTCTCGGCCTTTTCGGTGCGGATGTAGTCGACGACACGCTGGGCCAGCGCCAGGCCGGCATCGACGTGCTCGCCCAGCCCGCGCTTGCCGTAGCGCACCCAGTAGAGCCAGAGCTTGACGGCGTCGCCGCGCCGGCCGCAGCCCATCGTCTTCATGGCGGCGTTTTCGCGTGCGTCCTTGCTGTGGAAGAGGTAGCCGGCGTCGAGCGAGTTGGCGCCGAGGCTGGCGGCGTCGCGCACCAGCAGGAACGAGCACTGCAGCGGCACGTTGAGCAGCTTGTGCGGGTTGATGGTGATCGAATCGGCCAGGTGCGAGCCGGCCATCTGCGACGCAAAGGCCTCGGTCGGGCTAAAGATGATGGGCCCGCCCCACGAGCCGTCGATGTGGAGCCAGCAGCCGTACCGCTTGGCCAGCGCCGAGAGGGCGGGGATGGGGTCAAACGAGCCCAGCACCGTCGAGCCCGAGGTGGCGTTGATGAAAAAGGGCGAGCCGGACCCGCTCGACACGGCCGACTCGAGGAGGCGCGACAGGGCCTCGGGATCCATGCGCCCCGTCTCGTCGCAGGGCACCTTGACAATCGACGAGAGGCCCAGCCCGGCCGAGATGGCAGCCTTGTCCAGGCTGTAGTGGCTCTGGTCGCTGGTGAAGATGAGCGGGCGGGCGGCGCTGCCCGTCCGGCCGTGCTTTTCGGCGAGGTAGGCTGCGACGCCGAGGAGGCCCTGCTCGCGGAAAGGCGGGAAGATGTTGGCCAGCGCGGTCTGCACGGCGAGGGTGTTGGCCGAGGAGCCTCCGGGCATGGTGAGGCCATCGGGCTTGGTCTGGCGGAAGGAAGGGGGGGGGGGGGCGGGCGGGAAGTGGGAGGGGGCCAGGGGGTATCCACAGGGATGTGGCAACGACAGGTCAGCAAATGGGCGGCAGCCGGCCAACGTGGAGGCGGCCGCGTGCGCGGCTATGCTCACCTCTGTGAAGCCAAACACGCGGCAGAGGCCCTCTACGCAGCGCTCCTCGGCGAGAGAGAGCATGGGCGATGCGGACATGACGTGGGCGTTGGCGTTGAGCGTCGAGAGGACGAGGTCGGCGCAGATGCCGACGGGGGTAGGCGCCGAGTAGAGCTTGTCGAGGAAGCGTCCGGTCCACGGGTTGACGCTGTTGTCGAGGATGAGGCGGATGGCGTCGAGGAGCGCCGCATCGGTGGCCTCGCCACCGCGCGGGGCGGCGGCGACGTCCGGCAGGTCGAGCTGCACATTTTGGCGCAGCGCGGCAATCGAGGGCCAGGGCGTGACAAACGTCTCTGGGTCCTGCCCGGAGCGGACAAATTGCTTTACGAGCTCGACGGCTTGCGGGAGGATGCGGTCGAGCTCAGTCGAGGCGGGTTCGCTCTCGAGCGGAGACAGGCTCTGCTTTGCCGGAGAGGCGGCGGCGTGGGACGTGGCGGATAGCGTCATAGTCGACGGTGGTGGTGGTGGTGGTGGCGAGGCCGATTCTGCGTGTCTCTATGCTTCTATATCCCCTGTGACGAGCGATCCGTGACAAGGAGCGTAGGCAATCGGGAGGGCGGTGGCTGTGAAGGAAGCGGTTGGTGCAGGTGGCCGAAGGGAAGCAAGAAGCCGGCAGGGTGGAAGGCGACAAGGCGACAAGGCAAGAAGGCAGGAAGGCAAGAAGGCAAGCAAGCTCAGCCACCGCCCGCCCCCGAAAGCCGGAATCAGCCCCGCCTTGCCTGCCTGCTGCCCTGGCCCCAGCCGGACAGAGCATCGGCCCGATGTCAGCCAACTTGGGGCCAGCGACCCAGGCAGCAGCAGCTGAAAGAAAGCCGGGGGCGAGCGCTGCAGTCGGCTGCACGAGGGCCAGCCGCCAGCCAGGGTCTGCTCCTGGCACTCACGCACGCACGCACGGGCATCGGCAGCCCAACAGCTGGGCCAGGGGCTAAACCCGCTCCAGCTGGCATCGCCACTACCACCACCACCACCACCACCATCATCATCACTACAACCGACCCCAACTCTTCATTCTGCAATCGGCGCACCATCCTCGCTGCTTTCTCGATACGACCCGATTGGAGCCACAGCGGGACAAGACATAGCATGTCTGCCCCGCGCCTCGCCCACGCAGCGGCCATCGCCCCCCACGCAGCCTCGTTCTAGCCAGCCAGCCCCGCAGCCCGCACCGACATCCGTAGTCCACCCGCCCTCTCTCTCGCTCCACGCCGCCATACCATGTCCTCTATACCCAACACCACGTCGACGCCTTCCAACACGGACAACGCCGCCAACATTCATCACCGCCGCTCGCGCCCCGCAGCCACCCCATCGTCGGCCACCGCACGCTTCAGCTTCCTCGTGCCCGCCTCGGGCCAGGCACCCAGCTTCACGCTGCCCAAGTCCGCCTCCTCCGCTGCAATCACCACCTCGAGCCATACGACCGACGCTCTCTCTCGATCATCATCGGCGTCGACCACCCACGATCCCCGCAGCAGACAGCCAGGCTCATCGGCCCGTGTGACTGCCAACCCGAGCGCATCGCGCCGATCCCACAACGTCTCGAACGCGAGCGAGTCGCTGCGACGGGTGGCCAGCTCCTCCACCCTCGATATCCTCGACGCTCGCGGCACCTCGCAGGGCTCGCCTCCGCGGCCGCAGCTGGCGGGTGCTCCCCGCACGCGCCAGCGTCTCGATTCGCGCGCCTCTGTGGCTTCCGGCATCTCCCAGCACTCTGCCGCCACCGCAGCCTCCCTCGCTTCCCTCTCGTCGTTCCGCAATCCGGGCGACCGCCTGCTCGCACAACGTCCCGCCTCGGTCTACGCCGCCGGTCCCACCTCTGACAACATCACAGCTTCCGGGAGGGCGGCCGATAACCGCAGCCACCTCACCGCCCTCGGACACGCCAGCCAGGTGCGGGATCAGTCGTTGCCCTTGACCAGGACCAGCAGGCGTCTTGTGCCCAAGTCAGCCTCTGTGCCGACGCCACGGCCGAGCAGCAAGCCGCGCTCCATTGCCAGCGACGCGGCACCCTTGCACTCTGAACGGGGAGGCGCGGGGCGAGACATCGACATCCGCTTCGGCTCCTTTGATTCCCAGCGCTCGCACCACACCGCCAGCAGCGCAAACAGCGCCAGCAGCGCCTCGGACAGCTCCACGCACGGCTCCCAGCTGCGCAGCCGGTCGGCGCAGCAACCTCGACGGCGACCGCAGAGCTTCCTGCACAAGCCGCCCAGCGAGCCGTCAAACGCCACGGCCAGGCACATCGGGCCGAAGCCGCCCGCCGCCGTCCTCACAGCCTCACCTGACGATCAGAGCCCCGAAGACATCATGACGAAGCGCAGGCACGACCAGCTCGAGGCCGAGCAGGGAGCTGCCACACAGCAGGCAGATACCATCGCTCTGTCCGCAGCGGCCGACAAGAATGCTACCGTCCGACAGCGAAAGCCCGGTACGGCGGCAGCACCGACGTCACCGCCGTCGTCGACGCCTTCGAGGCGGAAGACGTGGTTCGGCCTTGGAGGCGGCCGTGAAACAAAGAGTGATGCGCCACCGTCCACAGGTGATGCGAAAAGCACGGCCAGGCTCCATGACGATGGTAGCGGCGTCGGTGGTTGCGACGACGATAACGACGACGAACAGCGACGCCGCACCATCCGGCCCCACGACGTCAGCATGCTTGGTGGCGGTGGCGGCGGCGGTGATGACAGCGAGCCTCCGCCGCCGATGGACGAGGCCGAAGCGGCTTTCCGCGCTTCGCTCGGTCTGCCCATGGGCACGCCTTCGTCGTCATCTGCGCGTGGTCGCGAGGGACCCCAGCGCCAGGACGGCAGAGACACGACCGCCGAGGAGGGCTTATCGTCTCGCCGTGCGGAACGGCGTGGCCTCGAGGACTCGCATGCGACGATCCGGCCCGCCCGCAGCCGCGACGCCGACCGAGCGATGCGCGCCGCGAGGAGGGTGACCTGGTTCGGCTGGCGAGGTGCGGATCCTGAGGTCGACGACGCTGGCCTCGCCGAAGCGGAAGAACATGGCAACAGTGCCGTCTCGGGCCCCGAGAGAGCAGAGGAGCGGCGGGCCGACGACGGAGACCCCAGCACCAAGCAACCAGGACGCGATACCCTCGAGCGTCCGAGCAAAGAGGACCCGCCAATCGACGCCGTAGCCGAAGGCACCGTGGCCCGTCACAGCACTGCAGCCGCCGCTGAGGCCGAGTCCTCCAGGTTCAGGACTATAACGAAACGCGGATGGCTGGGACGCCAATACGAGGTGCAGGAGGCGATCGCTGGCCACGAGGTTCCGTCGCCCGTGCCTCGCGAAGGCGCAGCAGAGGAGGACCATGGCAATCACGACACGATCAAGGCGAACCAGGCGCCGCTGCCTATCGACTCGCCCGGTCCTCACGACGGCTCGATGATCCAAGACGATCGCGCCGAACCTGATGCGCTGCAGTCGCGTCCGTCGATGCTGTCGCTGCGCGGTCTCTGGAACAGGGCGGGAAAGCTCCCCGACGCGGTCGAGGTAGTGCCTGCCAGCGCTCCGCCGCCAGAAGCCGTGACGGAGATGCCAAGCGCGGCCGCAACGAGCGGCAGCGCAGACGCGGCGTCTTCCGAGCCTCGGCCCGATGCGCCCGACCACGCCTCGCCGGCCGCGGGCTCGGCCGGGGCCTGGAGGTGGAGCCTGTGGCGCGGCGGCGCGACCGACCAAGCTCAGCCTGCAGGGTCTGGCAGTGTTGCCATCGACGGTCCTGCTGACGGAACAACGTCCCACGTCGAGCCAGCCGGCAACGTGGGCGCCGATCGGAGCGCGCCCGGCCAGCCGCCGGTCCAGCCGATGGACATCGATCCAGCTCCCAGCGATCCCTCGGCCGACCCAGGTCGCAGCGGGCCCCCGAGCTGCAGCGGCACTGCCACCACCTCCTGGACCTACTCGTCGTACCTCGCCAGCTGGGTGCCGACCTGGGTCTACAACGCTCAAAAGGAGGCCGAGGCAGAGGCGTCGCAGAAGGGTGCAGCGCAAGCGCACGAGGGGCCCGTCGTGTCCGACCCGGCACCGTCCGAGACCCCTCGCACGCCGGCCGAGCAGGTCAAGGCGGATGCGCTGGCCAGAGACGACCCTCCCGTGTCCTCGCCGCCTGTGGTGGATCCCGGCAGGGTGGTTCTCAACGAGGCGACGAGGCAAGGCTGGATCAGCTTCTTCAGCAGCAGGAGCTCGAACCGGCCCAAGGAGGTCGAGTCGCGGCCAACTGACGGCGATGGACTCGAGGTGATGGATATCAGCGATATGGAGACCGCTGGCGCTGGGCCCTCCGCTTCGCCTCGCCCGGACCTGGGCAAGACTGCCGGTGCAACGCGGCCAGCGCCGCAAAGCGGGGCCGTGGTCAGAATAGGTGGTAAGCTCCGTGCCGCTGCCCAAGAGGAGGCAGGGCCTGGTGCCCGCGGCAGCGGCACGTCGACGCCAGCGCCGGGTGGCAGCATCCGTGCTCCGTCTTTGTTGCGCCCGGCTTCGAAGCCGGCCTCGGTCGTCGACGGCGAAGGTGGCAGGCCCTCGACACCCCTCGGTGCCAGCAAGGACAACGTCAAGAGCCTTGGCAAGGCGGCGCTCGCAAAGGCCAGCAATGCCAGCGCCGCCCTGGCCCTCGGTGTGGGCAGCGCCAAGAAGAAGGACGCGCCTGCGACGGCGACCGGCTCGGGCGGCCAGGATCCGCCTGTTGCGGCTTCGACGGCGGCGGCCCAGCAGGTCCAGATCCGGTCTGCGCCTGCGCCCAACCTCGTCCTTCCGTCGTTCGAAGACACGTTCACGCGGGCGCCTCGCGCGTGGGCGCCCAAGGTCGGTGTGCTCGAGAGGACGCTGAGCGCGGTCAACAGCTACCTTTTTGGCAGGATGCCGGACCTGGAGCGGATGAAGAGGCCGACGCGCTTCTCAACGTATGCCGAGCCGGGGGCGGATGGCAACGCCACGATCGCGAGCGGCCGGCGGGCGTCTCGGCAGCAGCCCCACCACCATCACCTTGCGGGCAAGGCCAAGACGACCGGCATCGGCTCGAGCAAGGACAAAGGCCAAGAGGAGGCGCTGCGGGAGATTGCGACGCTGGCGCAGCCTTTGCCGCGCGCCTGGCCGTCGCTGGGCCAGCTGGAGCGGGCCCAGAACCGGGGCACGGCGGGCGTGGGCAAGGTGGTGGTGATCGGCGTGCACGGCTGGTTCACCCAGAGCATCTTCAAGACGATCATCGGCGAGCCGACGGGGACCAGCCTCAAGTTTGCCACGATGCAGGCCGACTCGGTGCGCCGCCACTTTGCCGAGGCCGGTCTCGAGCTCAACCCGGAGGCCATCACCGTGATTTCGCTGCAGGGCGACGGCAAGGTGGCGGACCGCGTCGACCGGCTCTTTTCCGAGCTGCTGAGCAGGCCGCAGTGGGTCAAGGACCTGGCCGACGCCGACGCCGTCCTGCTGGCGGCCCACAGCCAGGGGGCCGTGGTGGCGACGCAGCTGCTGGCGCGGCTGATTGAGCAGCGGCAGGTGCGGCCGGAGCGGAGCCGGATCTGCCTGCTGGCCATGTGCGGCATCCACCACGGCCCCTTTGCGCACCTGCGCTCCTCGATCACGTCGTCGTACATCAACTACTTTGAGACGGCGGCGGCCAAGGAGCTGTTTGACTTCCAGTCGTCGCAAGCGGCCGCATCGGCGCAGTACACGGCGTCGCTGCGCATCGTGCTCGACGCCGGCGTCAAGGCCGTCTACGTCGGGTCGGCCGACGACAACGTCGTGCCGCTCTACTCGGCGCTCAACTCGTCCAACAGCCACCCGAGCATCCTGCGCGCCCTCTACATCGACGGCCAGGCGTTTCCCAAGGTCGACTTTCTCACCAACCTGCTGGTGCTCTGCGTCGCCGTCAAGAACGCGGGCCTCGACGACCACAACCTGCTGACGCTGCTCAGCGCCTCGGTGGCCGGCAGCCTGTATGGCGGCACGGGCCACTCGAGGGTGTACGAGGAGCGCGCCGTCTACGATCTGGCGACGCGCTACCTGTTCGAGGTGAGCCATCCGCTCTCGGAACCGACCCTGGTCCCCGGCTACCCGCCCGGCGGCAGCAACGGGAGCGGCAGCCACGCCGGATCTTCGGCACCGTCGAGAGGCGGTGCTGCTGCTGCTGCTGCTGCTGGCCACGACATGGGCGACGCCGGCACGTCGTCGACCAGGCGGCCGATGCTCGTCTCGGACCACTTTGAGGCGCAGCGGTGGAACCCGTACGAGCTGCCGTGGTCGCTGCGCGGCCTGATGGAGGACAAGCACGTGCGTGCGCTCTTCGCCGACGACATCCTCGGCCTGCTCGACGACTACGAGGCGTGGACGCCGGACCCCAAGAACAAGACGCTCAAGGACCTGCAGTGGCGGCTCGCGCCCATGAAGAGCATCGCCAGGCCCAAGGTGGAGCGCGCGACCGATTCGCAGCAGCAGCAGCCGACGTCGTCGTCGCCGTCGTCGCCGTCGCCGTCGTCGTCTTCGCCGGTCCTGAAGCAGTCCGGTGGCCGCGTCGACCAGACGACGCCGAGCCAGGCCGGTCCAGCCGGCGGCAAGCCGGGTTCCTCGAAGCTGTAGAGAGAGATGCGGCCGGGCCGCGGCTGTACATAGACACGCGCAGACAGATAGGGCGCACTAGCGCGTTGCGCCTGCCCGCAGCTCCTGGCTTACGAGATTGACGACATCGACGATGATGGCCATTGCCCGAGGTTCCTTGGCTTCCTTGCCGGCTGGCGCGGTCCTGCTCGCAAGCCTGGCAGCCAAGGAAGAGCGCGCGTCGGGCTGCCTGGGTCGTCGCCGCGTAAAGCCGTCTGGCGGGCGCGCGGGCGGGGCAAGGGGCGCGAAGAAAAAAGGGCGGGCCCCAGCGCCAGACCAACACTTTCCAGCTGGGCGGGTCCGCTCGCAGTTGGGTCGGCTGGCCTGCTGGCCTGCCTTGGTTGCATCCCTTCCATCACCGCTGCACGACCGGCCACCTTGCGCCACACTGTCCTGTCCTCTCGCCTCCTTTTCCTGCGCCGCATTCGGAGACCCACCCCACACCATAGACAGACTCTGCCAGCCATGCTCATCTCGCTCATCGGGCTGCCCGGCGCGGGCAAGGCGTCCGTCTCCGACTACCTCATTAGCAAGCACGGCTTCACCTCGGTCCACATCCTCTCGAGCCCACGATCCCAGCACCTGGTCCCAGAGCTTCAGGCTTCTTCGTCGGCTCCCTCGTCGTCATCCTCGTCCGGGCTGCCGCCGGGGCCCCCGCCGCCGACACACGTCTCGGTCGACCTGACACCGCACACTGGCTTCCGCAGCCTCGGCTTCCGCGACGCCCGCGCGCTGCTCGAGTACGCCACGGCCAACTGGCGCGAGGACCTCGTCACGCTCGACCTGGCCGACGCCGAGCCTGCGGACCGCGACGCCTTCGAGAAGCGCCCCTTTTTCCTCTGCATCGGTGTCGAGGCGCCCGCGACGCTGCGGTGGCGCAGGTGGAATGCCAAGCACGGCAAGGCCAGGGGTGGCTCCGACATGAGCCTCGAGCAGTTCGTCGGCATGGACGACACCCTGCTCTACGGATTCCGCGGAGAGCTTGTCAATCAGAGCCGACACGGCGACACGGCAGTCGCCTCCACGACGTCGCACCACCACCACCACCAGCCAGACGGCATCGTCAGCGGCCAGCGCAGCCCAGATCTGGCGCGGAGCACATCGGAGGGACCCGGGGTCCTGACCTCGACGTACGCCTCGCTGGTGCAGCCGTCGGGCCTGATCACGTCAATCTCGTCGTCGTCGACGGTGTCGGGAGCAGCCGACGACGGCGGCCACGCCTCGACGCTCTCGCACCAGCTAAGCTACGCCTCGCTGCGCATCACCAACGCGCAGCCGACGCTGTCGCACCTGTACGCCTACCTCGCGCAGCTGTCGCTGTCGTCGCACCATCGGCTGCGTCCGACGTGGGACACGTACTTTCTGTCGCTATGCACGCTGGCGTCGCTGCGGTCCAACTGCATGAAGCGGCGGGTGGGCGCGGTGCTGGTGCGCGCCAACCGCGTGCTGTCGACGGGCTACAACGGCACGCCGCGCGGCCTGGTCAACTGCAACCAGGGCGGCTGCCCGCGCTGCAACGCCAGCGCCGCGTGCGGCACCCAGCTCGACGAGTGCCTCTGCCTCCACGCCGAGGAGAATGCGCTCCTCGAGGCCGGCCGGGACCGCGGCGGCGCAGAGGGCACCGTGCTCTACTGCAACACCTGCCCCTGCCTGCGCTGCGCCGTCAAGATTGTCCAGACGGGCGTCCGCGAGGTCGTCTACCAGCTCGAGTACAGCATGGACGGCCGCAGCCGCAAGATCTTTGAAGAGGCCGGCGTCGTCTTTCGGCGCTACCTGCCGCCGGCGTGAGCCTTTGGCGCGGCCCTCGTACGACACGCGCAGAGCAGAGCGATGGAATATAGCAGAGTGGCGGTGCGGGAGCAAACGTGCGAATGCTTGTCTGTCGGCGTCGAGGCCAGGTACCAGATGGAGAGGGCCAAGAGGTGCCTACCTGCTCTGCCTGCTGGCCTGTGCCACTGCTCGCCCGAAATCCGAGAGCCCACACTGCGGGGCGGCGGCGGCGGCGGCGTGCTCCTCGTTCTTCCTGTAGCCGCACCCACGCTTCGGACCACCACCACCACCACCACTCCCACTCACTACCTCGCCTTTTCAACAGCCTTCGCTACTCGCCGGGCACAGGCAATAGAGAAGCGCTGCCGTCGAGGCCATGTCGGCAGAATCGTCCCTTGTCGGTCAGTGATCCCAGGCACCTGAACAGAACAGCCAGATGGCCGTGCCGCCCGTTTCCTTGCGCGCTTGCTCATACCCGTCTGAACGATGCCCATCGCGCTTTCCACCCGCCTCGCTGCCAGCAGATCTCGATGCCTTTCTCCAGCCAAACTTTGACGTTCAGGCCGTCGTGGCCCAGCTGCTGGCCAAGAACCATCTCCTAGCGTCCGCGTCCCGAGGGCCCAACAGCGCAGATGCCTCCCGGCCCGCCGCTGCCACCACCGTCGACCCATCGTCGGCGGCCAACGGAAGCGGCACCCCCTCGCATATCGCCAACGATGCAGCGCCGGCGTCCGGCGAGCTGACCCTGGAACCTCCGGCGGACCGCCTCGCCTCGGCTGGGCAGGTGCCGCTCGCCAGCTCGCTTCGCCTCGACCAGGACGAAGGCGACCTCAGCCTCGCCATCAGCCGCCTCAATGTGGCCATCGACGAGATCCAGAGCTCGATCAATGCAGAGGTCGAGGCCAACGCATCGCAGCTGCTCGGGCGCGTGGCGGGCATCTCGAGGATGGAGCAGCGGCTCTCTGATCTGCGCAGCGGCGTCGCGGTGCTCGACGGCGAGGTGGCGGGCCTGCGGGCCAAGGTGCACGAGCCCTTTATCAAGCTGCAGCAGCACCAGCGTGATCTCGTCCGCATCGACGCGGCTTCGGACCTCGTCGCCAAGGCGTCCAGGTTCGTCACCGTGGCGAGACGGCTCGAGGCGCAGATGGACGTCCTCTTTGGCGGCGACTCGGCCAAGGCGGGGGCAGGACCGGCATCCGATGCGGCGACGGGTCGCCAGCAGCAAGACGACGAGGACGCCCCCGACGCCATCATCGGCCAGGTACGCGGCAGGGAGCTCGCAAGGGCGGCCCTTATCATCAACGAGATCAGTGAGTCGGCGCACCGCAGAGCCAAACGGCCCCAAGACGCCAGCACGGCAGGCCGGCTGATGATTCACCCATCTCACCTGTGCGACAGCCTCGATGCTCGAGAGAGATGGTGAACCAGCTGGCTCAGAGGGAGACGGCAACGAATCGCCCTCGGCGCACGCAGGCGACGCAGGCGACGGGCCGTCGCTCCTGGACCTCGACTTTGTCAAGCACTACCTGCCGTCGATCGACGAGGCGCGGCAGACGGTGACCGACTACATGGAGGACATGGTGGTGAGGGGGCTGCGCGATTTGGTGAGTGCCCGGACTGCCCTTCCTCTGCTGCTTGCGCCCTGCACCACCGACCGACTCGCTGATCTTCCGCGCCCCCTCCTTTGCCGGGACCAGTCTCCCATCATGCTGAGCTCATCGCTGCAAACCGCGTACAACCTGGGCACGCTGCCGGACCTGGTCCGAGACCTGCTCGCCGACCTGACCGAGGTCGTCCGGGATCGGATCCGCGCGGCCTTCGACATGGCGTCCCTCGGTCGTGAACTCGGTGGATTGAAAGGTGCGCATGCCGATTCACGCTCGCGGCGCGTGGCACTGTAACCGCTGACACGGAGAGTTCCGCCTGGTGGCAAAACCCTCCCTGACGTTGACCCTGCTCTTCTCTTGCCCCTTTTCCAGAGCCGACGGCGGCGGCTCCGTCCACGTACGCATCCTACAAGGGCCGGAGGCAGGCCGCCCCCGACGCCTCCGCCCAGGCGACCGCCACAGCGACGTGGACGGCAGCCCTCTTCCGACGCCTCGAGACGCTGATTGTCGTCGAGATGGGCGCCGTCTGCTCCAAGGTCTACACACTCGAAAGGGTGCTGCGCCTCAAGATGGACGCCCAGACTGGCGTCAACTTCCTCGACGAGGCGCTCCAGGTGCTCGGTGACCGGCCCAGCCTGACGTTCTGGACGACGCTGGCCAGCTCGTTTGAGGCGCAATCCAAGGAGGCTGCCAGGAGGTCGCCCTTTGTCGCGCAGATCCTCTCGTCCGCGGCGTCCTCCTCCGTCGCTGCCGGTGGTCCGACGGGAGGCTACGCTGCGCTGCTGCGGCTCTTTCACCAGTTCTTTGCCAAGGTCTCGGTCTACACGGACATTGCGTACACGGTCAACCAGCAGAGGTGAGTGGGAGCGGGTCTCGCCGGACGGGCAGCGGCGCTGGTGGCACGAGACTGACACCTCGATCGCCGGTTCAACGTCGATCGCACGGGGGAGGCAGCCCCGAGACGGTCATCGTTCTGCGGTCGCTGTCGCATCTCGAGGGCGCCTACCTGGACGCCGCCACGGCCAAGATGAGCGAGACCGTCCAGTCTGCGCTCGGCCCTCGCCGAAGCCCGACCGTTGAGGAGGGCGAGAGCGCAGTGCGCGCCATCAGCAACCTCCTGGACGCTGCGCGCTTTGATCCGCTGCTGAGCAAGGCTGCGGCACGACGGGTGGAGGGTCTAGTTGAAGACATCTCGACGAGGATTGAAAAGACGGTGAGTCGCGGGCCGCCTGCCTGAGCAACGATGGCCAACGGCGCTGTCCTGCGCTCCGCTGACGACGGCGGCTCCCGCCTCACTCTTCTGGTCTCGCCGACTCGACTCGCGAGCAGGCGGCACGGGATGCGACCGCCTACACGCTGCAGGCGCACGACACGACTGCCTCGCAGCTGCTCAACGCCGGGCTCGCCTCGTTCGCTTGCAGCATCTCTCAAGGCCTCGGCATGCTGGCCGCGGAGCAGACCGATCCGTGGCTCTCGTCGCGGCTCTCGACGCTCTCTCGCGAGGTCGATCGGGCGTGGCAGGATAGCATCGGCGGCCCGCTCATCACGACCGCGCAGCGCGAGATTGCCACGACGCTGGCACGGATGCACCAGGCCAATCTGGGCAAGTCGGGGCCTGCCGCGGGCGGTGGCAGCGGCGGCGCAGAGAGGGTGACGATCGGAGGCGGGACGGGATCGAGCGTGTACATGGACGACCTGTGCGACGAGATCTGGTACCTTCGCGAGAAGCTCCTCGCCCGCTACGGCGTCGGGCTGATCAAGTCGAGATGGTGGGTCGCCTCGCGGGGCATCTTTGAATTCTGCCCCTCAGGCCCTCGATCTAGGCTCGCTGACGCGCCTGCCCCTCCGTTCCCCATATTGCATTCGTCCATCCCTCGCGGCTACCAGGGCGTTGGGACTGGCGCGATGGACGCTGCGCGTCTTCCTGCTGCACGCCTCGCTGCTGCGTCCGCTCTCGGAGGCGGGCAAGCTGAAGCTGACGGCCGACATGACGGCACTCGAATTTGCCATTGAGCAGCTCGTCACCGACCTGCCCTGCCCCGCGTTGGATCCGGGCGCCCCGCACCGCGATGAGGCGTCGGCGGCGACCAAGAGGGGCGGCAGGATGGACATCTCGTCGTGCGGAGCGGTGTGGAAGGCGCTTCGAGCGTTCCGGTAGGTGTTTTGGCTCGCCGTGGCGTCCGCATCATCCCCCTGACCCCGCTGACCTACCTCGATGTGGCCTGCCTTCGTCGCCGCCACACCAGGTCGTTCCTCTTCTTGTCTACGCCAGAGATCCTCGATGCACCACAGCACGACCAGCGGATAGCGCCGATACCCAAGCACCTTGTCGCGCACCACCTCCTGGGCCGGACCGAGTCGACGTCGATCTCGTTCCAGTGGCCGTACGAGCGCAAAGGCTGGACGAGGAAGCAGTACGTCGACTGGATCCTTGCCCTGCGCGGCGGCGGCGGCCAAGGTGGGCGGGCGGAAGAGCCGGAGGAGACGGAGGAGGTGGGAGAGGAGCATCAGGTCCTGGAGGAGCTCTTGCGGCACCTCGACGCTAGCGCGGTCGAGGACAGGGTGCGAGCGTGGATCGAGATGGCGCAGCAGCGTCCCTCGGCCGCAGCCGCCAGCGCGGGGAGTGATGGCAATGGCCCCGCTCACGTCCCACCCCTGTATCCCTAGCCACCGAACGATTGAGCGGATGGTCTGAGCTACAGACGGCCGTCTTCGCAACGTCTCCAGAGATAGCATGCATGCCAGCCAACAGCAGCAGGCGTCGGTCGAGGGGGCCCTGGCCCGGGGCTCCCGGTCGCGCTTGGGCAGGCGACGCGTCGCGGCCGGCCGGTCGGTTGACCCCGGAAATTCTTGGGAATCCAACACTTTCGCCCTGGCAGGGGTTCGGCCCAGGTTCGCAGGCTGGCTGGCTGGCTGGCTGGCTGGCTGTGGGCTGAGCCCATGCTCGAGCTGGGCCCGCCTTGGCCCCTCGGTCCCTCGACCTTGAGCGCATTTTCGCCACCCGGATCGCCACCGCCGCCACCCGCAGCACCACCACCATCCTCCCCTCGCCACTCGACCCTTCCCGCCCCCCTTTACTCACCGTCTCCGACCCCAACATCCAGAGCAGCGGCAGACGGCACTTGCCCGCCACCGTCCCGACCGACCGCCTCTCGCCGAGCCACGCACGCCACCCTCGCCGACCTCCACTTTACCCTCGCCCCCTCGGTCTCGCATCCCCCCTGGCGCTCTCTCAGCATGTCGCAGGCCGGTAGCGACCATGGCAACGGCGGTGGCGAGGATGACATGGGCGAGGCTTTCGGCCCGTTGCTCATCAACAAGCTCGAGGTGAGTGAGCGCGTGCCGGTGCCGGCGCGGCGCGGCGCAGTGCAGCGGCTCGCCATTGACAGGGTTCTGGGCTCGCTGACCCCGCCCGGCCTTTGTCGCACCCACTCTGCAGGAGTTTGGCATCTCGGGCTCGGACTGCAAGAAGCTGGCCGAGGCTGGCTACCACACCATCGAGAGCGTCGCCTTCACGCCCAAGAAGAACCTCTTGCTCGTCAAGGGCATCTCCGAGGCCAAGGCCGACAAGATCCTGGCAGAAGGTGCGTCCCCCCCTGTCCCGCTTGCGAAAGAGGAGTGGCGATGCTGCCGTGCTGATGCCAGTAACCTGCTGCGACCCGTTGTTGTCCTGGTTCTGCTCTGGCAGCCGGCAAGCTCGTGCCGATGGGCTTCACCACCGCCACCGAGTTTCACGCGCGCAGAAACGAGCTCATCACCATCACCACCGGCTCCAAGAACCTCGACGCCATCCTCGGCGGCGGCATGGAGACTGGCAGCATCACCGAGCTCTATGGCGAGTTCCGGACGGGCAAGAGCCAGCTGTGCCACACGCTCGCCGTCACCTGCCAGCTGCCCGTCGACATGGGCGGAGGAGAGGGCAAGTGCCTGTACATTGACACCGAGGGCACGTTTGTGAGTTGTTCTGGCAATGGTCGCCGGGCGCCGCCATCGCTGCCGCCCCCCCTCGCTTCCACCCTATCGATCGAGCGAAAGCTGACCTTTCGAATCTGCTTGTTGCGTCCCCTCCTCGTCGTCCACCCAACGCTTAGCGACCGGTGCGACTGCTGGCGGTGGCGGAGCGGTACGGCCTCAATGGCGAAGAGGTGCTCGACAATGTGGCGTACGCGCGGGCGTACAACGCCGACCACCAGCTGCAGCTGCTGCTGCAGGCGTCGGCCATGATGGCCGAGTCGCGCTTCTCGCTGCTGATTGTCGACTCGCTCACGTCCCTCTACCGCACCGACTTTTCGGGCCGCGGCGAGCTGTCGGCGCGCCAGACGCACCTGGCCAAGTTCCTGCGCGTCCTGATGCGCCTCGCCGACGAGTTTGGCGTCGCCGTCGTCATCACCAACCAGGTCGTCGCCCAGGTCGACGGCGCCAGCGCCTTTTCCGCCGACGCCAAGAAGCCCATTGGCGGCAACATTGTCGCCCACGCCTCGACGACGCGTTTGTCGCTGCGCAAGGGGCGCGGCAACCAGCGCATCTGCCGCATCGCCGACTCGCCCTGCCTGCCCGAGGCCGACGCCGTCTTTGCCATTGCGCCCGAGGGCATCGTCGATCCCGTGAGTCACGGGCTTGCCTGCCTGCCTGCCTGCCTGCCTGCCTGCCCGCCTGCCCGCGCGGGGATGTCGTCAGCCGATCGCGTGGAACATTGGAGCAACTGACGCTCTCCCTCTGCCCCTCACTTTCTATGGTCTCTTCAGGTCGACTGAGCGCCCGCCTGCCTGGGCGTGCCCGGCCCGCTCTGCCTCTCGTCGTCCCGTTCGCTCGTTGACACACACACACACCGCAGCCTGTACTTTTAGCATCGTCACTGACCTCAGCACGCCTCATTCTACACATGCTCAGCCGACTGGGACGAGGCGGGATGTCTGGCTGCCGCAGTGCATCGCATTGCGTTGCTCGGCATGGCCTGAACGTAGTTCACAGGGTCGATGCCGACAAGCAGCCAACGCGCACGCACGCCGCCGCCACCTCGTTCCTCGCGCAACTCATCCCGGCGCCTCGCCTCGCCTCGCCTCGCCTCGCCTTCTCACTCCCTGCTCGAGGTTCACCCGCCGCCTCAGACGAGCTTGGGCAGCTTGCTGGGCTTGAGGCGAATGACGACGAGGACGATGGCGAGGGCGAGTGCGGCGACGATGGCGACGCGCACGACGGCGTCCGAGTTGTTCCTGGCCCAGGTGGTCTCTGCGACGCCGAGCGCGGCGACGAGGAAAAAGAGCGGGAGGAGGAGGTATCCCGAGAGGCGGTGCCACTTCCAGATGCGCTTGGCGCGCGCGCCGCCGCCGAGGAGGGCGCCGTCGAACCACACGCTGGCTGCGCCGATGGCGGCCTGGACCCAGGCCCAGCTGACGGCGACGGTGCCGAGGATGCCGTGCCACGAGATAAAGTGGGCGGAGCCGGGCTGGTCGTGGAGGTACCACATGATGGTGGCGCCGGCGGTGAAGAGGGGCAGCGCGAGGCCGAGGTTGAGCACCTGGTGGGCCTGCATGGCGCGGAGCTTGCGCGCCGGATCGTGCTGCGTCGTGGGCTGCAGCACCAGGATCGACTGGACCAGCAGCACCAGCGAGAGCGACTGGAGCAGCGGGTGGTAGCCAAACAGGGGCAGCGACGAGAGGGGCATCTTGAGCAGCACCATGCGCCACACGAGCGCCATAAAGGCCAGCGCCAGAAGCTGCCGATGACATGGGACAAGAAGAGCAAAGGCCCGTCAGCTCAGTCGCGATGCGCCTTTGTCAACTCCGTGCACCGCCGCCATCGCCATCGCCGTCGCGCCACTCACCTGAACGGGCAGCGCGCTCCTCGCCATGTTTCCTTGCTTGATGACGGTGCCAAACGAGACGGGGTGGCTATCGTCGTGCTGTTCGAGATCGCCCCGGCGGCTGTTGTCGTGGTCGTGGTTGAGCAAGGTAGTGGACTCGGAGACGGGGACGGGGTCCTGCGTCTGCAAGCTGTCGGTGCTGTTCCTGCTCATGGTCGTCGTCGAGGGCCGTTAGGGATGTGAAAGGGCGCACGTACGTGGACCCTGGGCTGAGCCGCGGGCGAAGGTGGCCTTGGCTTTCACACAGAGGAGCCGGAGGTCTGGGCGCAAGCAGCGGGTCGAGTCGTGGTCGTGGTCGTAACAGGGGCGACGGTGTGGTATCGAGAGGAGCCGTCGTCGTCGTCGTCGTCGTCAAGGCAAGCTATGGTCGTCATCGTCGCCGTCGTCGCCGTCACGACGGCCAGAGTGGCGCCAATGGCCACGGAAGACGCCCGGCCGGCCTCGCGCCGTGGGTGGAGGTGGGGCCAGCTGGCACGCCCGGATTTGTCAGACGGGCGAGGGGCCCAGCCCTGCCCTTCCCTGGCGTGGTCCGGCCTGCCTGCCATCGGCCGTCTCGGCCCGACGCTGGTCCAGCTCGGCTCCGAAAATCCAGCGGCGGCCCCGAAGATGCCGTCAATCAACATCGCCCGCGCATCGGGGCCGAGTGGCCGGCGGCGGTGTGGCAAACAATTCGAAATTGACACGCACGGGCGAAGTGCTGCGAAGCCCTGCCCGATTCGGCCTGGAGCTGACTGACTGACTGACTGACTGACTGACTCGGCGGCCGTGGGTCTGGTCTGGCCCCGCCCAATTTGGCACTGCGCCACACAGTCGGCCAGCCGGCCAGCCAGGCTGGCGCAGGCAAGGGGGCCACACCAGCCTCGGCGAGTGAGTGCCAGGCCGAGGCAGGCCAGGTCACTGCAGGCGGCGTGTGGCCGTTCAGAGGCCTGCCCTGCGCAGCCCTGCCCTGCGCTGCCCTGCGCTGCCTGCCTAGCTCTATCTCGTCGCCCTGCTTGCCCTTTCAACCGCTCGATCCATGCTCCTGTCACACCCATCCTCTCCCCCACCACCATCAGCACCATTCAACTCGCCTCGAAACCACCAGCACCACCTTGCCTCCGCCGCTTCCCTTCCCCCTTGCCACGGCTCCCCTTTGCTTTCCGCCCTCCTGTCACCTCGCCGCACACATCATACACCACCCTCCATCAGCGAGCACCCCTCTTCGCCGCCGCAAACATCACCTCATCTGCGCCTTCCATCCGGCATCCGCGTCGTCAGCTTTTACACTTTCGAACCCGTCGCTCGCACCTCGTAGCTTCTCTGACATTGCGCTTTCCGGCCTCGACACCGCCTACTCGCATCCGGCCACTACCGCTCGCGGCTCCCTGCCGACTCGCATAGCGCATTTGGCCATCGCACCTTATCCCGACGCCGTCCACCTCCACCGTCCGCGGTGCCCTGATCGACACTCAACCTCGGCCCCATTCTCTATCGCTCAGAGCTTCAATCCGGCTTCGGGCCATCGCCGATCCTCGCTCGCTCGCTCGTTGCTCGTCGTATTCGCCACCTTCCCCGTACATCCTCCCCTATACCACCCGCCATGCTCGCCACTATGAGACCGACGCACGCCTATACGCACGCCGCACCGGTCCATTCACGGCCCGACTCGCGCGCGTCCTCCCACAGCTCCTCGCCTGCCGCCACCCCCAGCCGCACCAGGGCTGACAAGGCCAGGACCAGACCCGCCAACAACGCCGCCTCCTCGACGGCGATGGCCTCTGGCAGGAAGTCGTCGAACCAGCGGAAATCCGCCCAGGCCAAGTCGCAGCAGCAGTCGCAGCAACAGCGGCAGTCGACATCGACGACCCCCGACGCCAGCGTCGATGACTTTTCCAAGATTTCGTCCCAAGACATGGCCGCCGCCCAGCCAGCCTCCCAGGTTCCCGGGCTGCTCTCCCTCAGCAAACCCCTCTCCGAGCTTCAGGATGACTCTAGCGCCGGCTTTTCGCCCGCCAAAGGCAAGAAGGCCCGCTCCGACGCCGCCAACAAGCGCGCCGACGGCGGACAGCAGCGCAACCGGCAACAGAGGTCCGCATCGCCCCCGACCGACGCGGCAGCGACCACCACGGCTAAGAATGCCCACTCGGGCGGCGCCAAGGGCGCCTCGCGCAGCGCTCGCCGCAACAACAGGGGCGGGGCCGACCGAGCCGACGCATCCGTCGACCTGCTGTCGAAGTCGGCGCCCTCGGCCTCACTGGCCCACGCCAAATCCGCACAGAAGGGCGCCAAGGCTGTCGAGGCTGCCGTCGCGACGGTCGCCGAGCCGAGCAGCGGTCTCACGTGGCAGCAGGAGATGCTCGGCTTTGGCAGCGGTACGCTGGGGTCCAAGGCCTCGGCCGATCTGCGCAAGACGGGCAGCTCGGGCGGCGGCAGCAACAAGCGCCACGTCACCTCTTCCATTGGCCCTAAGCACGACGGAGTCCTGGCACAGCCCCAGCAGATCCAGATCAGCGACTCTTCCGCCTTGACCTGGCAGCAGGAGCAGTTCGGCG